AACGAAAACGAGAACGAGAGCGAGAGAGCAAATAGACAAAAATAGTAAAGAGGCTAAATATTATCTTTCTTAAAATAACCAGTGTCAAACCGCTATAATAATAAACCGATGTACAAAGATGCATGTTCTTCGATCTTTTTTTCTCTTTGCCTTCGTCATATTCTTGTTTCCTTCATTCTTTGTGTAAGTACCCTGGATATACATAATGTTATATATATAATGTTTCATAACAAATAATAACAGAATATTCATATATGCATGTTTTTAAGAAATTATTTTTAAAAAATATAGTTTATATAATTACTAATATGTGCGTGCATAAAAAAACATATATATGATTTTCCTTTTATTCTAAATAAAATAAATGTAATCTTAAAATAACAATTTTACATTGTATAAGTTCGTGTGTGTTAAACTTGTATTTTTATATTAGTTTGGTTATAACTTAAATAACTTTTGTCAGTTTAATTATCAAAAATGGACATTGAAGAGATTAATATTTATCAGAAAATATCAATATACTGAACAGGTAAGTAAATTGATATTAATTGCTTTCTATACGTGAATATGGTTATTACTATAATATGTCTCTAACATACCGTGCTTTATGTTAACTATACAGTGTTGTCAAAAATGCTTCTCTAAATTTTAATGTCAGAGATATTATTATCGTGCCTGACATTTTTAAATTAAACCATTTTTCGTTGCAATTAAAATAATTTTTGAAACATAACATTATAAATCGCTAACTGTTCAATACATCGATTAATCATAAATTAATAAAAAAAAGAACTTGATGATAAGACTATTATTTCCTCTGTCAGAAAATAAATGTCATTTGTAAGCTTTCTTTCTTCATCAAAATTAAATTTCGATTATTAATTAAATAATAATTATATGAGAACAAATAATGTTCTGATGCATAAAAAATATTTGCTTTTCTTGCAGAGATAAATAAACTCGCCTGCGTGTGTGAATTGCGTATTTATCTTTGCTCTTGCAAGATTTCAATTATATTCCGATTCATATCAGCCTCTCACAATTTCCCACATATTAATTAAGGCAATGCGGAACAAGACAAATATTTATCGCATTAATTATAATCTGATTAACTCCAGCAATAACCACAAACATATCCTTGCTATATATTTCACAAGATTATAATTCAATGCATTGAATAGAATTATTAATTAATTAAATATATATAAGTAAAATTTATTTCAATAATTAATAATTCCTTGTAGAGTAGAGAATGAGCGTGCATAAGTAACAGTCACTTCAAAATATATTACAATAGATTCTACAAGACTATAAGATTATCTAAAGACACTAAGGCTTCATTGCTAAATCGCAGGATCTCGAAATGACGCAAATGTAATTTTATAGATAACTCGAAGCGTTGCCGCTTTGCAGTATATGCCTGCCGGGAAGTTTCTGAACAACGATAATAATGAGTCAGGGCGGCAATAACGAAAAACGATACCTAAGAAGGATTGAATACAGTGATTCTGGAAGATGGGCAACCTTGAGCCGTAATTTAAATTTCCTATAAAATAACTCGTCGTAAGGAGTGCAACTAGGAAATTTAATCACCGTATAGTGGCTCTCGGTTTATACCCCAGGGCTACGGAACTGGCGAATTCGGTAACATCTTGCAGAAGTTCGTTATCCCTACTCTGCCTTGTACCGCCGCCGATTTACCGAGACGCCCATATTATTTCGTAATATTGACTTCATCGATGAAAAACAGTATCCAGTTTAAAACTCATCTGCATACCGATTCCAGCGCAATTATTCTCTTCACGCGCGGATATTGTATAGTATGTGTTATTGCACTCAAACAGCATGGCGAATGGTCCACCAGGAAAATCATCGAAAATAAAAAACGACGAGGAATTTTCAATATGTCGCGTATGAATAGAGAACGTGCTAACAACATAAAACTACTGTAGTTTCTTATTAAAAGAATTAAACAATCAAATATGCAATACATAAAAAAAAGATAGATAAGAATCTGCGAGAAAATCGATGATATAATTAAGATGTGCATAAAAAGTTGTTAGACTGAGCTAACGTTATTCTTTTATAATACAGATTTTAAATTTTAAACTTGATTAGAGTTGTAATTATATTCGTACCAATTTGTATTGACACATGCAATAAAAAGCATATTGCAATTTCGAACTCAATTGCACATCGATCCCAACACAATTACTCTTTTCCCAATAGGAGATTGCAAGCTGGATTGTTACAGTACGATACACGCCAATCATTATAGAACGGAAACGTGCTTGAAAAGGCTGTTATTCATATTTTAAGAGCAATCACACAGATATAAAATACGCAGGGAGAGTGAAACCATTTTGCAGGCAAATAAAAAAATGTCTTAATTATTGAAATGTAATTTTGAATCGCGTTTTGCTGCGAGAAACTTTTGCAGCAAGTTGCATGATTATTTCACTTGCTGTTTCGTTATAAGTTGTTCAAGCGAATAAGGATCGCTTTAATTGCTTAATAATTATTTAATAACATAAACAAATTATCTTTCGATTATTATTCTCGAGTGGGGGTACCTATATTCATTATATATAAATAAATTTATATATAATTATGGCACAAAATGCACTTTGCACACAAATATTCTTGATTAAATGTATGTAGTTATAGTCGCTGTGGTGACGCAGCAGCGCGTCACACAAATAAGAGACATTTTGTTACGCAAATTGGCCTACAAATTCACTTGTGGAATTGTTTGGCAAACGGCGAATTCAATCAACCTACTTACCGTTCTAACGTCATACCAAATTTATTATTCATAAAGTCAACAAAACTACCTAAATTCGTATTTTCTAAATTTATGCGCGCAATGTCGCTATGTTCGCATTGTCTCCGTTCAACGTCTCTCAAATATCCGAATAACTATTTCTAGCAAGTAAATTATTTTGTCGTCTAACATACGAATATAATTCAAACCGAAATCAACTTAATTATTATTATTATTATTAATAAACTCATTACTATTATTAATAAGTTGTAAACTAACTTTTTGTGCACCATTTCCTCTAAATATAAGACTTGACGAACAAAACATCCACAGAAACGAAGTTCCATGTTTCGTAATTTTTATTCTATTAATAAATCGAAATTTAAATACTAAAAACCGAAGAAAAAAAAAGTTATGTTATCAAAAAAAAAAGTCTCGGAAGCCCTATTCAAAATACTGCATTTTTTATTTTATGATATGGATAATTTTTATCAAATTTATATAAAGGCTCGTCTTTAAAATTCCCTTCGGTGGCAGTTACCTAAGTCATGAAACATCCCGTACATAAATACAATAAAAAGTACTTGACTCGAACCAATTATCCGTTATTAGAGATAGAGTTAGCTGAACTAATCTCCACAGCCGGCACAGAAGCACGGATGTTTGCTGTTTCAGCTAGATAGTAAGAGAAACGTAACTCTCTGAACACAGTAGCATTGATCGAGGGTCGCTATGACACTTTCTGTACAAAGGAGAGAGCACACCGGCAACGCCAAGGTAAACTAGGTCTTCATGGTAGGAGAAGCAGAGATCCTCTTCATCGTGTCCGCGATCGCCGCAAACCGCCGCCCTATTCGTTGCGCTCTTTCCGATCGCACGCTCCGCAAGCATTGCAGTCTTTTTATTTACCTTGGGTTCCCATCATGTTACCCACCACGGAATTCCAGCGGCGATTTACGAACCAACTAACATCAACTAGCCAACTAATCGAAAATATTTCAAACTTAATGAAAAATGCAACTCCAAACTGATTGGTCTCTGCACGCGTCTAATTTATATAAATTTCTAAACGATCAATTTTTGTAAATAATTTCTGATTATTCTTACTCATAAAAAGAAAAAATGTGATATGCTGCAAATATTTACAGAACTTCTGTATCAAATAAACGGAATTAAAAAGAGAACGATAATACGGGAGGAAAGTTTCTTGAAGTGGATTAAAAAAAATCTTTATAACAAACGGAGTATACTTTATAGAACAATATTTCGAGTGTTTCCAGGAACTTATGGATACGTGTATTTCAAATAAAGTACGAGTGAGACAATCGGAGAAGAAAAGAGCAACGCGGATTTTTCTGCCGGCCATGTAAGAAATTTCTGTGCCACGATACACTGAAACTTCACGCCAGTTTTTACCAGTTTCACAGACGTAAAGTTTTTTTTACGTCTCCGCATAATAGTACTTTATAAAATATTACAAAAATTTGCAAGCCTGGGTAGCGAACCAATGGTATACTTTAGGGAATTATTGAAATAACTTTTGTCTCCTCTAGAGAGCTCGCCGCGAAAAGAAATACGCGATTAAAGTCACGCTAATAAATTTAAAGATGGAAATATCCGCCCAACGATAGCGATACGCTTTTATTAATGTGAAGTAAAATTGTGGAAATTCTAATGAATAAGTTATAAATAATCGCGATGTCTTATCGCGGCAAAATTATTCGGATAGAAATCGGTTTTCTGATATTGTGGCGCGTAATCGGACTTTCGCATTAAAGCACTCTGCAGGAAATCCTATTAATTAAATGAATGTAAGTGTGATAGTGAATAACTTTTTGTATGCATATATTTTAATTGTATATATCGAGCTTGTGCGTGTGGCAGATAAATGTAAATTCTTCCTTCCTGAATATGCAATGTTTCAAAAGCTCGCTCACGCCAACAACCGTTATTTTCTACCATACTTTTTGGGAATGATTGACGAGTTTAAGCGGCGGGACTCTGAAAAATAATTAGCTGCTCTAATTGACTCCATTATTTACGTGGAAATAACCTAGCCACCCCCCACCCCCATCCCCCGACGTAAAAATTCGAATTACAATGACGGCCTCGAAAGCGGGAATATCACATAAGCACGCGTAGACGTTCGCACACATTCGCACGCGGCGGTGGTTGCTAAGGTTGCTCGACTGCTGGAATAATTGAAATTGATCGTTGTGG